TGATGAAGGGTGGTTAAATGTTTGTAATAAAAAAAAAACAACTTGCCAAAATGGCAGTGAATTTTTTAGCAAAACTCTGAAGAAGTTATTAATAGCAGAAGTATTATGTACCTCTGGAAATTCTTCACTATATATATATATTTCTACATAGATTGTGTTTATTGTTTTTCTGAGAACCTATGTGTGCTCTTTGGCATTCTGTGACTTACCATATCTTATAATAAATACAAACTTAATACAGAAGTGCTTTTATCAAAAGTAAACTGGACTGTCTTGATTTTTTTTTCCTTTGAAAATGTTTTACTTCTCATCAAAAAATCTTCAGTCAGTTCAGGTCAGGTCAGAATTGAAGAAGCTTCTTACGGTAGATGAGAAGTGAAATGTTTTCAAAGGAAAAAAACATGAAAGTTCAGTTGCCTTTTGAAAAAAAGCATTTTGGGGGCAACAGTGACCTGGATGATTGAGAATCTCCACAGGCATTACTATTAAAAATGTGTGTGTGTGTGTGTGTGTGTATTTTACTGCATGTCTACTCTGCTTTTTCTCTTAGAGCTCAGGACCACATGTCTGGGGATTCCTCTAACGTTAGCTTCATAGTATCAACTCTGAAAAACAGTTTGACTGAAACTAACCACAAAGTCACACTATTTTTATCTCACTTTTCCGCTGTGTAGAGAGACACTATAATGCTTTTGAAGATTTACAGTGAGAGAAAATAGGCTTTCTCAATCACAGCTAAATGTTAAGCAGGAGTGGCTTTCTAAATCAGTGTAGAATGTATCAGAACAGCAGTGGAACAGAAGATACTGTGTATGAAAAATGTTTCAGGGGAAAATCCCAGACATTTATTTCCTTTTTCTGCCTTTTTTTTTTTCATGAAATGTAACATTTCTTCAAAAAAAAAATAATGAAAAAAAGTTAGACTTAACTCTAGTTAAAAATTAGATAGAGAAGCAAGTAAAAGCATTTCGCTGTTTTCTCAAGCAAGTTCCCACCCCTTCCTGAAAATCAATACATGGATTTTATGTAGTCCTCTTGAAAACAAATGGCTGGAACTGTCACTCATTTCCATGGCTGAAATTGAGTGATATATGCATAGGAGAGTGGAAGCTCTTGAGTCTCAGCAAATTACAGGGTTTCCACAAAACAATGACCCCTCAAGCAACTCCCTTTAAAACTCTTGCCCATAAAACCCAATTTTCAAGTAACTAACGTCTCCATTCTGGAGTTTAAGGAGTTTTACTGAAACAATCAACAAGCAAAAGGTTATCATTAAGATTCTTTTTACCTTTTCTCTTGCTGCACAGAGTTGACTTTTCATCTAGAGTTTCACCTGATGAAATGCTATGATGAATGTTCAGTTGCACGGAGAGATATCTCAAGTCTGAACATTTAGTGATGGTAGGAGTCACTTCTCCCTTTGGGCGCTAATTTTAGTTTTGCAATCAGTGAAAACAGCCCAGAGCAATGAAAAGAATAAAACAGAAGCTCTGAAGAAGCCTGACCTGTCTGTCCAGCCAGCCCAGATCCCAAGAAAAAAAATGAGGTCTTTTTTTTTTAAACCAAAGGTTATCTAAAAGATAGACAGGGCACTCTTTTTAACTCAATACAAAGTAGCTATGCTTTGCGGTGTTTCTGTCCCTGAGGTAGCCTCTAGGCAGGATCCAATTTTATAAGGTTAGCTTCTTGCATGGCTAGGATATAACACAGCAAGTGACAGTGGCCCATACCAAGAGTGGCATATATTTTAGGCCAGGGGTAGGCAACTTTGGCTCTTTTATGACTCGTGGACTTCAACTCCCAGAATTCCTGAGCCAGCATGGAATTCTGGGAGTTGAAGTCCACAAGTCATAAAAGAGCCAAGGTTGCCTACCCCCTGCTTTGGGCAAAGACTGAATTGATTTGCTAGAATGCCTGTCATGGTATCCTGGGTTCCAACTTCCGATCTCTATAATTAGGAGAGTGATGAGAATAGTAGTCAAGCGCATCTAAAAAGCATGAATTCAGAGAAGGAAAAAAGGATTGTTGTATGCTGCCATCCTATATTTTTGTATTTAACCAAACATATAACCTATTTCTCTTGCATACTTAAATGGGAAATTGCTTTCTCTCATTAGTATTAGACAGCATCCATTTCATCAAGTCTGCTGTAACTTCTGGATTGTGACAAAAGCAAGTACACGTAGTCCTTGACTTACGACCACAATCGAGCCCAAAATTTCTGTTGCTAAGTGAGACATTTGTTAAATGGATGTTGCCCCATTTTATGACCATTTTGCCACGGTTGTTAAGTGAATCGCTGCAGTTGTTAAGTTGGTAACACGGTTGTTAAGTGAATCTGGCTTCCCCATTGACATTGCTTCTCAGAAGGTCACAAAAAGGCGATCGCATGAGCCCAGGACCCTGCAACCGTCATAAATATGAAGCAGTTACCCAGCATCTAAATTTTAATCACGTGACCATTGGATGCTGCAATGGTTTAAGTGTGAAAAATGGTCATAGGTCACTTCTTTCAGTACCGTTCTCACTTTGAATGGTCCCTAAATGGATTGTTGTGAGTCAAGAACTATCTGTACCAATACTGTATTTCTTTACATTGTCCTTATATTATTTCTTGGCATCATTTTATAAAGCTTTTGATCTGTGAAATGTATTATGGTCAAAACATTCATTTCAAACCTGTCTTCATGTTAAAACTTTTCAATTGTCAAGAGCACTAAATTTTCTGTGGACAAATAAGACAATTCTATGTTGTTAAAAGAGTCCCAGAGCAATTTGTGGTGCTATTAATCTTGCTGGTTTGCCACTTTGACCAACACAACACTTCTTTTATAAGATAAGATACTCCCTTGAAATTCCAGTTTGTCCATTAGTCCAAATTCTGGAGACCTCTAATAAGGGAGAACACTGTTTTTAAGAGATGAAACTGATTTTTTTTTCTCCCCTTGAAAATGCACTCTTGTGACTTGTTCTAATACATGTTGGCTCAATTCTACAATCCACTGAGCTTACATACAAAGGGGAGATATTTTTCTTGTTTTAAAATTTAATTCTAATGTTGAAAGTGACCAATGAACACAACCTCCATTTATTTAACTATTTGTCCTAAACCAGTAGCATTGACTGTATCTTATGGCAAATCAACAAGCTAAATAAATATGTGAGGGTGAAAAAATGAGGTTTTATCTTTGTTCTTCCTGTTCATAGTCAATGTTACTGAGTCACATCAAGTTTCAGATGATGAGGCATCTGAGGAGTTTACTTCCTTTCTTAGCACATCAAGTTTTATCAGACCTGTCTTGCACCATAAGAGAAGAAATAAGAAATAAGAGAAGAAAATGAAGAATGAGGAAAGATGATAACGATCAGTATTCATACAAAGATGATCAGGAATTATTTTCTATTGCCACAGAAACCAGGATCAGAAAGGATGGTATACATGCAACTACCTAGATTTTGTTTAAATATAAGTAAAAACTTCCTGATGGTGAAATCTGTCCAACAGTGAAATAGTTTACCTCCATAGATATTGCAGTGGTTTTAAAAAGTCTGAAAAATTACCTGTCCTTTTGACCTTCTCCAATTCTGTGATTTTGAGATTCTGAAGAATTCTTTTCACACTGGCAGAGATATTGGTAACTCTAAAGCACGCCTCAATAAACTGCCTAGTCCTCTGACAGGTGCTTTGGAAATTCTGTGGCTTACTTTCTATTGAGCTTTAAAAAGTGAAATAGGTTTACCAATTCATAGGATTAAGGCCATAATTCATAAGATTAGGGGGTGTGTTAACAAAGAGCTTTCAAACAAATTCCACTACATTTCTCTAGGCATATTTCTTGCGATTATTTATTAGGGTGGAATTTGTTACAAAGTAACTAATCATTTGATCTGTGTCCAGATAATTATTTCTTGTTTTTGTTGGGTCCGTGGCTATAATTAAATGGGGAACAAATCCCTGGGGGTTGGGGAATACAGTCATACAATTGCAAGATTTTATCGAATAGTTATCCGTGGTTTGGCTGAGCAAAATAACTTCCATTTGGACTGTGGATCAAAAAAAAATATTACTTTGTCAGCCAGTCCTACCAACCCACTTTAGAAAACTATCAATGCCAGTGTAGAAATCAAATCTCAACTGGTTTAGTATTGTTGACATCAACTAATAACTACTTCTCAGAGTGTCAAGCATGTGTTCCAGCCATCTCTGAATATTTCAGACCTTGTCATTTGCTAGCTAACTGAGGTTGGCCCTTTGCTGTTGAAAAGTGAAAGAGCCAAATATTTTTGAACAATGGACCCAGAAATTAATTTAAGGAGTGTCTGCCTTTTTAGGCAGACTGTGTTTAAAAGATGTTATGGAAAAGGAACAAGTTTTACTGGACAAGATTGAGACTGACCTGAAAATGGATTTAAAAATGACAGGCTACAAGAACGATATGGTAAAAAGTGCTATGCTAAACATACAAATGAGACTGGTTGATGTCTTAATAATCAAAAGGGATGTACACATAACAAACCAAGAGTGAGCTAGATAATTTACCTGTATTGGATTTACAAGCATGGTTAGTTGTGCAGAATTTTGTAAAAAGGAACAAAGAAAAAAATGAAAAGAAATCAACTTCTAGAGCATTATTTGAAGGGATTAAAGATCATGATTGTTAAAAAGCATATAAAATTGGTTGATTTGATCAAGATCAAAACAGACATATTGTTATCTCTGGTAACCCTTAATGGGCTTTTGCTGATTAACGGTGCGACTTAAATTATTCGCTTATAGATAAGGGAAGAAGATACCATACATTGTATTTTAAGAAAAGGTGGCAAGTTACTAAAATTATACTATTTGTGATGAAAGGGAAAGTCACTCCTTTCTTTTTCTTTACTATATTCTTTTTTTCTATTCTTTTTCCTAATTTGCATTAGTTTTTATCTTTTCAGTTGTTTAACGTTTAATCAAATTACTACATAGAAATGAAAGAGTCACAGAGATTAGTAACTACCTGGAATCCGATTGAGGGTTACCCAAAAGTGTTCGTCGGGACTGTAAGTGTCTCTGGACCATTTCAGCAAATCAATGGCCCTGGAGTCATTGAAGAGGAACGCCACAAAAGGCCTAGTCAGAGCAATATAGGCAGACCCAAAATAGATAGTGAGGTTGTGGGGAGGTGGCGATTTTAGGGTCTCGGTCCTTCTCATGTAGGAAACTTTCTTGCCTATGTTTTCCTTGTAAGCAAACTTGGTCCTTAAAGTTATTGAAGGTGGGGGGAGGATGCCAGGGGTGATGTTCTTCCCTTTAAACTTTTTCAGGTGCTGGACAATTTCCTTGTTCGTTTTCAGTGGGAAATCTTGCCCACACATGTTGAGGACGTACTTCCAGCGGGTGGGGGATCGCAGCAGGTCCTTCATGCAGTTCAAGTCAGCCTGAAGCCTGGAGATGCCGGCATAGACCACCGGCTCGGCTTTGGAGACCAGGAAGGCGTTGGGGAAGCATTCCAACACTCTCTCCACATCTTGCTTGTACCTGGTGGGCACTTTCTCATCCACGTGGATGCAGTAAACGTTGTGGGGGGCGTAAATCGCCCTGAAGAGCCGCTCGAAGGTCGCCAGCTCTTTGTGGAGGGTGAAGATGTAGGCCAAGGGGAAAGCCGCCTCTTCGGCGGAGACGGGCCTCGTCACATAGTGGCTCCCCGCCACGTAATCTTCGCAGGAGGCGGCTCTGTCGAAGGACGTCCGGAGATGGTTTCCCCACACGAAGGTCTTCTGGCCCCGGGCCAGAGCCCCACACGCACGGCGGAGGAAATCGCTCTCCCGGAGCCGTGGAAGCCGGGGTAGCCGAGGCGGCGGCGTCTGTTTTGACGCCGGGGGAGGTTGCCCGAGCAGGAGGAGCAGCAGCGCCGAGAGCCCGCTCAGCAGGAAGACCGCGAAGATGTACCGAGGCTTGTCAGACCGCATAGTCTCCCGGGGACGGGCCAGCCCGGAGTAGGAGACGGACCTAAAGCCCGGAGAGGCGGCGGCAGCGGCAGCGGCGGCGGCGGCGGCGGGGGGGTCCTCCTTCCCCGGACGCCCAAGCGATGCATTCAGCCCAGCAGACTTTCCGCTGAGCCGCCGCGCCAAGAGCTCCGAGCGATGCCTTTTTTTCCCCCCCCTTTTGGCTCAGCCGGTTGCTAAGCAAAGCGCTCCAGCCGCGCCCAACCCGTGTAGAGCTGGGGATCCAGGGCTACCTAGCGGCCGAAGGTGCCGCATCTGCATCTCCTCGCTCGGCCTCCCTCGAAGTTCGGCGACTCAGCCTCGCCCTGGGAAAGGCGCTCATTCGCGTCTCCAAAGGGGGCTGGGATTGGCTGGTGCCAAGCGCGCCCGGGTTCTCCACCGCCCGGGGCGGGGGCGAGGGCGGGCTCAGCAGGTAGCGCTGTCCATCAGCCGCCTCTTCCTTTCGGGCTAGACCTCGGCCGGGCGGCTGCGCCGAGAGGTCGTGCGCTTAATCTGCTCTCTCGGGTTCCCGCCAGACGGGTAACTGGTCTCGTGTAGCCTAATTGGACACGCCGGCCAAAGAGCGGCAGATCCGCCTCTGAGTGGGCTCACACTGAGGTTGACCCTGACCAGGGGCGTGGCTAGGCACCCGAAGAAGATGGCGCGTGGCGCTGGCCGCCCCCTCCTCGCTCCAGCTGCACATCTCTTAATTCAATATTTCTTTTTAATCAATTTTAATAGGTGTATTATATGTTTGTATTTTATTCAATTGTTAGCTGCCCTGAGTCCGCAAGGAGAAGGGCGGGATATAAATGTAATAAATAAATAAATAAATAAATAAATAAAAATCGGTTTACTTTGCTGGGCGCTTCATTAGAACGCGAAAGTATTATTATTATTAATTTTATTATTAATTTAATTTCTATACCGCCCTTCTCCCGCAGGACTCAGGGCGGTGCACAGCATATTAAAACAGATACACATATCAATAAAAATAAAAACCCCTCTAAAACCAAATTAAAAACCAAATATTCGAAGCTGTGTTCCAATTAAAATTATACTTAAAATCGTCCCTAAATAAATAAATTTAAGGGAAAGAGGATCCAAGTTTATTTGGAAGGGTAGGAGAAGGTGTGAAAGGCGCCACTCCCCAGTAAGGAAGAAGATGCAATGGAGGTGTGTGTGTGTGTGTGAGAAATAAATAAAAAAAGCGCTGCCCATAGGCACACCTGAGATGCCATAGGCATAGATGCACACCTGAGATGGACTTAATTCGGCGACTAATAAAACAACTTGGGAAAAAAAGAACTGAAGCCGGAATGGGATTAAACATGCTGGGGGTGGGGAGGAATAAGCAAAAGGCTTTGGCAGGCTGAGCAAATGAATAAACCGTCTTAAGAAAAGGTCCCATCAAACAGGCACAGCTCAGTTAGCCAGCAAAGCTTATGGTAATTCTCTATAGATTATATGTAATCATATATAGGCTACAGATCATATTCTAGAGATAAGCAAATATCTCTAAAAATTGAGGCTGGGTTGGCAGATCCTGTGTATGGGATGCAACAGGAGAAACCATTTAAGGATTAACGTCGCATTAGAGGAAACTGACATAATCAGTTGGATTTCTTGCCTTATTTCTAAGATTAAGGACCTGAGCGCTGATTTGACTGCAATAAAGACATTGAATGGGATCACAGGTTAACTCTCCTAGGAATATGCTGAAAGCTATAGATATATTTTGGCCCTATTTGTTGATTCAACAAAATTATAAGACAATCGTGTGAGCTGGAGAAGATTAAATGGGCGGTGAGAGAGAGTCTTCCCCAGATTTTGCATGGCTGTCCTGCAGTGAAAAAAAAAATGAATTTAAGCCACTGGCAGAAAAACCTATACAGGAGGAGATTCTTTTACAAGGATTTCCTTTCAAGAGAATTGTTGTCATGTCAAAAGGATGAAAACTTACTTCAGCTTCAGTGTGTTCACGCTTAAAGAAAGGGTGAAGGAAGGAATTTAATTTGTCCTTCAATTTGTGGAAAGGGTTTCTGAGCAAAGGAAATTATATTGAGATCATTAACTCTTTTTGAGTCTTTAGATTTAGAGGAAGGGAGGGAGTTGGGTTAACGGGGGGGGGGGGGAGAGAACCAATAATAATGTAGGTTAAACTATAGCTAAGGAACTATAGAAATTAATATTGGTAGCTTACTGACTGGGAGAGTGAGAAGGAATCTCAGTAGGTCATTCCTTCCTGCAGGAAAAAAAAATCACTAATGTTATATAGGTTGTTCAACGCATAAGGGAATATAAAGCCAGAGAAATTGTCTAGATTCTAGAATGTATAAAGGCACCTCAAACATTGATTGAAAATGTGGACAACATGAAGAGACATTTTATCATGCTTGATGGCTGTGTCAAAAAGCTAAAAAAAAATATTGGATTCAAACAGTTTAATACAGAGGATTTTAAAGATTAACATTCAACCTTTTTATTTTAGGACTAATGGGTAAACAGTTAGAAAAAAGCAATGAAATATTATTTCATTGTATAATTACCACAGCAAGGTTATTATAAGTACAGCAATCGAAAGATCTGACACTACTTACTAGGGAGGAATGATTGGTGAAACTGACGATTTTACTGAGATTAACTTCTTTGATTAGAGAAAATACACGGTCCACATTTATTGGTGACTGGAAACCTCTTATGGACTTTTAATGATAGTTATTTTGACAAGCAATTTTCTTACAAGGATCTAATAAGCAAGGAAAGTAGCCATTTTTTTTCAAAACTAGTATAGATTTTAAGTTTCAAAAGATTCTAAACGATTGAATAGGTAGATGTATAATTATAAATGGGAAATTTCATCCCAAAACTATAGTTCTAGCACCCATATATGCTCCTATTCAGGGTCAGGTTGCTTACTTAAAAAATACAAATAGAAAAAAACCCCACAATTTTATAATGGTAGGGGGCTGATACATTAAAATCTCAGCCCACAATGTTTAAAAGATTTCAAAATTTAATGCATAGTTATCGATGTATAGATTGAGGGCAATGTTGAATCCTGCAACAAACGGACATATTTTTTATTCAGGTAGACATAAAAATCCCATCTAGGATAGACTAAATAAGGATATTTAAAACTTTTACATTTTTTGCAATAAATTAACATTGTACCAATACATAGATCATTCTCCAGTGATTCTTGGCTTCAAATTGGATGGGATTACATAATTTTCTTACAATTGGCACTTTAATCCTACATTATTATGCAGTACAACGAGGCAACAAAACAAGATTAGATCAAGCAAATAATATAAATAAGACAACAACAATAATAAATACCACTACTAAAGAAGGATTTATTTAAAAGTCCAGGAAATAGAGGAATTAGGGAGGGATAAAAAAGGATTTATTTATAGTTTTATAATTTATTTATAAATTAAAGAATGTATTATCTATTTAGTTTTAGCATTTAAAATAAAACTATCCCAAACTGGAATGTAACAATTGATATGTTTATTAATCAGATCTCCAATTTTTACATAAAAACAAAGTTAAAATAATGAAACAGCAAAGGCAGGAACAACAATTCTGTCCAGTTTTGATAGTTTGTATAGTTTGTCTCAAAAGCAGTGAATGTTTAGATATATGGTAAATTTATATGTGTATAATGCCTGATTCTTTACTTACTTTTTAGTAATTCCTTTTTTTGTATTTTGAACGTCATTTTTCCTGTGCATCATGGATTTATGTCATTTAGTTACTTGATAATGGTTGCAGATCATACTTTTAAAAAAGGTTAAAATCCACTAGACTAAGTTGGTTATGCAAATAGGTGCATAACAAGGGCCTTTGTTCTTTAGTGAACTTTAGAAACAGGCTGAGTCACACACACACACACACACACACACACACACACACACACAAAGAAAAATAGCTGCATAGGGTGGGGATGGAGAGTTGTGGAAGGACTATGAAAAGGGGACAATCAGTCAAGATAGCAGATTTTGTTATTTAACTAATTGAAATGCGTAGTATTAGCCACACCTTTGCTTTACTGGAAAATAAGATCTGCACCATCTAATCTGAATAATTAACTAATCTCACCTTGGTGATGGAGAGGCTTGCTTTGGATGGTGGAGGGTTGGGCAGTCATAACAAAAAAAAATGTTCAAGCTTCCCCCACCCTAACTTTGAAAGAAGGGGTGGACAAGAGATGAGAGCTGGTCCTTTCCATTGATTCCCCGGCCTTAAGGGTTCTCAAACCTGGAAACTGCAGCTGGACTGAGGCTGTGATTCCTAGAATTCCACCCTGCTCATAAACACCACCCAAAAAGGAATGAGCTTCCGTTCTTCCAGTGGGGAACACTGAATTAGCAAAAGTGATGGGTACACCTACCAATGGATTTAGAGGACAGGGCTGGCTCCCACCTCCCATTCAGAGTGCAAGTAAACTGAAGGACTATTCCATTAGCGATCTACCCTCTTCTTTGCTTCTCTCTCCAGAGACATGAAGAAATGGGAGGCAAGCGAGAGGCTGCCATATATTTCAATTGGGGTGGGGGGCAACCAAACAAGGCTAACCAGAGAAAGAGACACAGCAGCCTATAAGCTTGCCTGGAGGCCAAACTTGGGTAAGGGAGTCTTCTGAATAAATGGAAGAGATGCCTCTATCTCTTAGTTGTCTGACATATCTTCAAAACAAAGCGGGCCCTTGGGCATAACTTTCTCAAATATTACTTCACTTCAGTGCAAAAGATGCCCAGCTGAAAAAATATGCCAAAAGAGGATTTGTTTGGAATGATAGAGGATAAGAGTGGAGAACACAGTTGAGGAAATGATGCAATGACTGTGAAATCTGGGTTTTAGCACTGAGCAGTAATGCTAGGTAACTTATTCATTTGCCCCACCACTTCCTTATTCTTTTAGTAGTCACAAATTGAGTCACAGTCCTTGGCTTATGACCACTCATTCAGTGACCGTTC